AAAAAGGTTTTTATTTAAATTACACGGTAGAGTGCATGACTTGGCTGAACTAGAGGGTTCCAGCGAGGAAATAACCTGTGTCCTCCTCTTTGCTGAAAATTTACCACTTGACTCAACCACTGTGTCCTTCCCGCAGCAAAGGTGAATTCTCTCGGGTCAACCTCACAGCCTCCCCTAGACCAGTTCCTAAGATGAACAGGGGCGATTTCCATCATGGAAGTCTCCCTGATTCTCTTTTAACTAGGTTCTAGGTTTGGGGTATTTTTATTTTTAATCACAACATCATGGATGGTTGTATTGAATTTTGGTTTAGTGATGTTCTCCTTGCTCCCCTCCAAGCTTCTTGGGTGTCTCATGCCCCAGCCTTTCATTTAGTTTCTAGCTATGATTGACGTCCTGAGAACTTTAGTGCATCACCTCATTGAATTCAGAGCAAGCTGAAGAAGCAGGTAATATTTGTCTGTCCCATTTTACAGGTAAAGAAAGTGAGCCTCAGAGAAGTAAGTGAATCAGGTTCTTCTGTTATCACCTTCCAGTTGAGGATTTCTGAAGCTTGGAGCAATCTCTGTGCCCTTAAGGAATCTATCTCCATTTGAGAAATTACACTGTTAAGAGGGGTTGAGGATATTAATGTTCCTTAGGGTAAATAGGATAAATGTCTTAGGTGCATAAATAAGTAGGATAAATGGTTAGGTCCACCCAACATGTCAGGGCAGAATTCTCTGTGGAGAAGGAGTGATTCTGGTTAGATGGTAGTGGAACAATGTGAGTGAAGACTGATTGCTAGACATTGCAGAGGAGTCTATTTACTTTGGAAAACACTTGTCATCTTCCCTTGATGTGCAGTATGACATCAAAAGAGGCAGTATTAATTCTGTTTTTTAGTGTTTTAGGAAACCTCAATAACACTTCCCAAAATGAGTTTATTAAGTTACATTATCAACAACAGAGTATAAGGGTTTTCTTTACTCCAGATTCTTGCTAGCACTTATCTTTCATCTTTTTGATGATAGCTGTTCTGTAGCTCAAATGAAAACAAAGATGGGAGCTGATACATCATTGTGGTTTTGATTTGCATTTCTCTTATGATTAGTATTGAATATTTTTTCATATATCTGTGGGCCATTTGTATGTCTCCTTTTGAAGATGTCTATTCAAGTTCTTTGCCTATTTTTAATAGGGTTATTTGTTTCCTTGTGATTGAGTAGTTTGATTTTCTTGTATATTTTGGATATTAACTCCTTATCTGATGTAGGATTTATTTATATTTTCTCCCATTCTGTTGATTGCCTCTTCTCTTTATTAATTGTATCTTTTGCTGTTTAGAATTTTTATTTTCATTTGATTCAATCCTGTTTATCTGTTTTTGTTTTTGTTGCCTGTGCTTTTGGGGTCATTTTCAAGAAATCACTTTCTGGACTATTGTCATGGGATTTTTTTCTCTGTTTTCTTCTCATAGGTCTTAGGTATAAGTTTTTACTTCATTTTCAGTTTATTCTTGTACAAGGAGTGAGATAAGTATCCATTTTCATTCTATCTGTTTATATCCAGGTTTACCCACTTGAAGAGATGTCTGCACTCCCATGTTCATCACAACATTATCCACAGTTGCCAAGATAGGGAAACAATCTAAATGTCCATTACGGTGTGGTGTGGGTGAAGGGGCTCTTGTCATGCACAAAGACAAACATGCTAAGTGCTGACACAAATAAAGTGCACAAACTGATAGAGTTTATTTGAAAGGTGAGAAAGTGAACACACATACCACATGCACATGTGAGCGTGGGTTGTCCCGCACAGAGAAACAACTATCAAGAGGGGACAGTGGGCACAAGTAGGACTACAGACTTACACATGGGGACTTGTGACTTCCAGCTCAGTAATCCTAAGCTAACTCCCTCCCCATTTATCCCACATTGAGATGAGTGGATTTTAAAACTATGTATATCCACAATGATTATCCAGCTTTTAAAAAAACCAGGAATTCCTGTCATCTGAGATAACATAGATGAATCTGGAGGACAGTATGTTAGGTGAAATTAGCCAGTCACAGATATACAACCATCATGTGTGCTCGCTAAAATGTGAAATCTTGAAGCTGAACTCACAAAAGTAGACAGTAGGTGAGGGGGAGAGGAATGCACAAGGAAAGGGGAGGTGTTAGTCAACAGATGGGAAGTTTCTGGTAGAGGCAGTAAGTTCTGGTGTTCTATTGCATAGCAGGCTGACTATAGTTAATAATAACATACTCTATATTTCAAAATAGCTAGGATAAAGGATTTTAAATGTTTTCATCACAGAGATGCGAGATATCTGAGATGATGGATGTGCTAATTAGCTTAATTTGATCATTCCACTGCATTTACATGTGACAAAACATCACAGTGTGCTCTAAATAAATATATAAGATTATTATTTGTAAATTAAAAATTAAGCTAAAAATAATAAGAAATGAGCCAGTGTTATTTTGAGAACAGGATTGGCAGTAAAGGAGAAACATGTTTGCTGCTAGTTGTGTTAGTAGCTGCCTTTTAACTAGGGTTGGCTCTGCCTTGGGCTTTTGTTTTTTCAACTGCGGCATGAGGACTTTTTATAGATGACTGCTAAGGCCACTATTTTAGCTAAACTTCTTGCTCTTTGATGAAATGAATTAAATCCTGATTTAATATGCATGGTCCAAATTGGCAATCTCTGAGTCCAAAGGTTTCCTGTCAACTTCTTGTGTGTGGTGCATACATGCCTTTATCTCTCTCACCTTTGGAATCATTTCCAACTTACCCATGGCTGTTAATAATTAATAGCACTGGCGTTTATAAGTCAGTGGTAATATGTTTTGATTTTATCATTTCTTTTCATGAATTATGGATATCATTAAAAACCAATTTTTTAAAAGTCTGGGAAGGGAACGGAAGTTGATGGGCGGCCAGAGGAGACGAGAGGGCACAGGATCTTGCTCTGCCATCATCTGTCAGGTTTAATAAATAGCTTTCAGCTTGAAAGACTTTGTGCTGCTGGTAGCTCCTGTTCATCTTCCACATCTTCCTTCGTGGGTGGGAAGACACAGTCACAGCTGGAATACAGATTTAGAAGCCTCCATCTGTGAAGGAGTGGATCACCCCCAAAAGGAAGTCTCTCTTAAATGCCATTCAGGAGGGTGAGCCCTTGAAATGCTCCTGAATTGGCAAACTCGAAATTTGTACAGAACCATGAAACTGAGATTCTCATACTGACATCATCTCTGACCCACTGTGTCTTTGAGAAGGCAATGGACCTCTAGGGTTCCTTATATCGAAAATGTTAATATAAGACATCTAGTTAATAAGGTTGTTTTGAGAATAAAATTAAATTTGAATATTAAAAGCAAGAAAATCCACCTGTTCTTTGAAAACTCCATTAAGAAAATGAGAAGGCAAATCACAAACTGAGAGAAAATATTTGCTAAACATGTGTAATACTGAACTAGTGCCTAGAATATATAAAGGACATTTACAGATCAATAATAAGAGAAAAATTAATTTCAAATGGAGAAAATATTTAAATACACACTTTACAAAGAATATCTATGAATGGCCAGTAAGTACAAGAAAAGATGCACAGCATCGTTAGTGAATGCAAATTCAATCCACAATGAGATACTACTGTATAGCAGTATTGAACAACTGGAACTCTTGTCCCACTAGTGGTAATGTAAAATGCAATAATCACTCTGGAAAGCCATTTGGGTATTTCCTGTACTACTAAATACATTCCATTTACATAGAGCGTAAGAAAAGACAGATCTAACACACACACACACACACACACACACACACACTTTTAAAAAAATCACCACCACCTTAATCGATTAAACCTCATTTTATTTTTATGTTTCTAAGATTTATTTATTTATTTGAAAGTCAGATGGAGAGACAGAGAGATGCTTACAATTTTCTGGTTCTTCCCACCTGCCCACAATACAACCCAGCTAGAGTTGGTTCAGGCCAAAGCCAGGAACTACCATTTGGGTCTCCTACATGGATGGCAGGAACCCAAGCACTTGGGCCATCATCTGCTTCCTAGGGCATTAGCAGGGAGCTGGATTACAAACGGAGGTGGGACTAGACTCTTGGCACTGTGACACAGGGTGCAGGCCTCTCAAGGGGAAGTTTACCCCACTGCACAGCAGTGCTGACCCCAGGCCTTGTTTGATTTCAATTTTATTATTTAAAATTTGTTTGAAAAGCAGAATGAGACAGAGACAAACAAAGGAACACACAGAGAGGTCTCCCATTCCTTGCTCTATTTCCCAAATGCCCGTAACAGTTGGGGCTGGGCCAGGTGAAAGCACTAAGCCAATAATTCAGTCCAGGTTTCCTGGATGGATGCTGGGAACCCAACTTCTTGAGACATCACCTGCTGCATCCCAGTGTGCTTAATACCTGGAAGTTGGAATCAGAAGCAGAGCCCAGAGTGGAACCAGTCACTCTACTTTGGGATGTGGACAGCTCAGCCTTCACCAAACGTCTGCCTTAGACATATCTCACATATACCAGTGGAAAGCAGATCAGGAGCTGACTAGAACCAGAGGTGAGGTGTGGGAAGACGTAATTATAAAGGGAGACAATGGAAGATTTGCGGATTACAGAAACATTCCATATCTTGACTGTAGTAGTTATATCCATATATACATGTGCCAAAATGTATCAAAATATGCACATATAATGGGTGCATTTTCTCTCTGAGTTTCATCTTGCATACCAGAATACTGAAAAATTTCTTTGGAAAAATAGAATTAAAAGAGAAGCTTATTTTAGCTCAAACATTTTGAAATCTAGACATACAAGATATCTTCAAAATTTCATAAAACATGCATATTTTAAAAAATCTATGTATGTTTTTCAAAAGTTTTACACCAAAATAAACTTATTTTTTAATTCCACATGCTACAGACTTTAAAAAACAGATTTATTTTCTTATTTATTTATTTAAAAGGCAGAGTGAGAAAGATAGATATGCCTTCTTGCTGGTTTCTTCCTCCAATGGCAGCAATATCCAGCTGGGCCAAGCTGAAGCCAGGAATCAGGAACTCTCTCTGGGTCTCTCACATGGGTGGCAGGAACTCGAGTCTTTAAGTGATTACCCACTACTTCCCAGATCTAGTAGCAGGGAACTAGATCAGAAGCAGCACAGCCAGGATTCTAACCAGCACTCTGATAATGAGAAGCTAGCTTTGCAAGAGATGAGTTAACCTGCTGTGCCATGACACCTGCCCCGCTGCAAACTTCGGAAGTATTCTGTTTTTAACGTATCTTTGGTTTTGTGGTGGCGTTTCTTCTTTTAGCATTAGTCATTGTAGTTTTTCACTTAACATATTGTGTTCCATTGTGTTTTTCATCATCAGAATGTGGATTTGGATCATATTTTCCATTCTAGGTTTCCGATCATGTTTTTTCTTCTTTGCTGAATATATGGTATATATGTATGATAGCTTGTTTATGTTCTTAAGTATTAATTATATAGTCTGTGCTACTGTCTTATTTTTATAGATTGATTTTTCTCCTCATTGAGTTCTATTTCTGTGCTTATTTGCATGCCTGGCAAGAGTTTGATTGAATGCCAAACATTATAATTTTTACACTGGCGGGTGCTAGAGTTTTTGTATTCCTTAAATGTACTTGAGTTTTATATTCAGAAATTGTTTGCTTAATTTGATGCTTGCTTTTAAGCTTTATTATGCAGGACCAGAGCCTTTATTCCAGGGGTAATTTGGTTCCACTGCTGAGGCAATTCCCTTTGGAATACTCAGCCCCATGCCCCTTGTATCATGAGGTTTCTCTATTCTGCTGTTGAAATGGGAATTATTTCCAATTCTGAATGTGAAGTGTTCTTATCTGCTCCTTTCCAGTGGTTCCTTTCGAAGCTTTAGGTAGTTTTCTCAAGTACATAGGCTAATCTGCACTCAGCTAAAGACTCAATGTGAACCTGCTGCGCAGTTCTGGAACTCACCCCCACCCCTTTCTCTTTCCTCTGATATTCTTCCTTGCAAAATAGACCCTCCTTGGCTTCCCCTCCCGACTGATTCTGTGTGGATTTCCTCTCTCTCTGGTGAAGACTGGAAATTATCTTCACATAACCAACTTGGGCAATTATAAGGTTCGCTTCGTTTTTGTTTCCTCAGGGATCACTATCCTGTGCTGCCTCTTTCCCACTGTCTGATGATCACTGTTTGTTTTATTTTGTTCACTGTTTTTAGTTTTTAGTATTTAAGGAGAAGTCCAGTTCCTGTTACTCCATCGTGGATGTGTGTCCATTTTACTGCATGCAGATTATATGTCAATAACTATGATGATGCACCCTGTCCATGAGACTGCACCATATACCTGGACTCTAAGGTAAAACTCTATGCGTTGTTTAGTAAGTGAAAGGTGAGAGGGGAGACTGGCTAGAATGTACAGAGTGGTATGGAACTGACTTAACTGACTGGACTATACACATGAGGGTACTTCAAAGAGGTTTTAGTGCAAAAAATTGAAATCTAGGGCTAGCTGTTATATAATACACATTTTCCCTGAGCTTTGTGAGGATTCCTTGTATGCATTAGTGTGGGGAGCAACTGGGAGCAACTTGGACTAGACTAAGTTACTGGAATTAAGACTTATTCTATGCATCTGTTCTCCCACAATATGGCGCTGAGAAGGGAGGAAACAGCTTCTACACAGCTGCCTCCAGTTCAACCAATAAACTGTAGGACCTGCTCCTGATTGGAGGAGAGCAGCGTACTTGGCGTGTGGGTAGCAGAGTTGGGATTGGCGGAAGAGGACTATAAAGGAGGAGAGAGACAACATGCACGAGGAACATCTATCTGAAGGAACACCTGTGCAGCCCCCAGAGAGCCGGCCGGCGGTGTGCCGCTCCCCCGCGGAAGTGGGGAAAGTGGCAGGGGGAACCGCCCTTCCATGGAGGTGGAAGGGACGGTAGCCAACCCGGGAAGAACCAGCAGCAAACCCGGGGAGGGCCGAGCAGACAAAAGAACAGCGCAGGGTCCTGTGTCGTTCCTCCACGAAGACGGGGAGCGACACATTAGTTTCCAAGATTTTTTTTTTCACAAAAATGAACTTTTATTTCCATTTTCCATGAACTTTTTGAAGTACCCTTGTGTATCACCTGTGAGATCACCACAGCCCTTCCTACGCATACCATTTCGGAGTTTGTTGACTGCAGCATTTTGCCTGGCTGTGCTCACAGCACGCCAGAAGTGATGGAAAATGAACTCTTGCCAGAGCAGCCTTCGACGGATGACTGGTGGGAATTGGTGTGTAAACACTCCAGGTGCCTCAGGCTTCAGGGAGTTAGTGCTGAGGAGTGTGCTCTGCAGTGTTTCTGGTCTTAAAATCAACCTGGGCTTGCTCACAGGGGTGGCTTTTCTCATAACATACCCCCTGCCTGCTACCTTTCCCATCCCCCCTTCAATAGTTCTCTCCACTCTACCCTACAATTAATATTTCCTGGATTCACCCCCAAATAAGTCACATGTAACTGAATTTTCATCTCATGGTCCACTTCTGGGGGCACCCTGACTATGGCAGTAACCAACAGTGCCTTACACAGAACCAGCTGCTTACATGTCAGCCATTCCCCTTTGAAGAGGAACCAGGCCCAGGAAACTTGGTGTGTTCTCAGTTCTCTCTTTACCGTGGTCTCACACAGGAGTGATGTAATCCCTGTTTTGTGGTGGTGCAAGTATCAGATGATAATCCATTTCAAAAGGACAATTTCAGCAGAAAACATACTTTTTGAAAATGTCTGTCACATTTCGATTTATGATTGCATTTATAGAAATGTATTTAAAGAGAAGAAATAAGGATCAGTCTGGAGTTTAGCTCTGAGAATTTTTACACTGCAGCCCTGAATATCAACAATAGGGTATATGAAAATGATGGCATACTCTTATAATGGAATATTCTATAGATTATTAAAATGCTGTTTGTTATAGGGTATTGATAGAGGAAGATGTTTCTGGTCTATTGCCAGGGGCAGAGGGCAAGTTAAAAAGCATCAAGTCCAATATGTTCTTTTTTATTTTGGCATTGCAATAAAGGAATTTCTGGTAGGACCTTGCTCATACACAAAAGGCCCAGGCCCTGTATAACTCAAAGTCTGCCTGAGCCTTTAGCAACTCATCACACCCCTGGTTGAGGACTACATTGCAATTGGATGCCCACGCAGATGATGTCACACAGCAGTGATGACTCGTCCCAATGGGGGCTTTGCCTCTCTTTCCATAATCAATCGCCAAGTGCCTTTCAGATGTCCTTGATTTGGAATGGACTTCCTCCCTCCTGCCCCGTGCCTAGCCCTCTCGCTGCCTACTAGAGGATGCCTGCGGAACTTCATCAGAGGGATGTGACATTCCTTGTCCAATGTACAACTTCAGACTAGACAGACTATTTTGAGGCACCAGATTTTTCTTGAAATATTTGCATATAATCGTTCACTAAATATTATCTCTAAGTCTCCCCTGAAAACCTTTGGTGCACTTTGGACCTGTGCAGTATAAAATATGTAACTGAGTTTATGACCCATGGGAACAGAAAACCTTAAAAAACACTTTGAACCATAAGTGAAAATCCTATTTCCTACCTTGTCTCCTCTGCTTTCCAAGTTTTCTTCTACCAACATTAGGTACCAGCTGAGCCAGAGGGATGAGATTTGAATGGATGGCTCATGCATCTTCATGAAAGGCATTTTAAAGATGGCAGGACCTTGGGTAAAATTTGGGAGGTAAATGAAAATCAATAGTCCACAATTTATTCTGGGACTAGCACATGAGAGATACACAGTCAGAGAATTTTTGAGTTACCTAAGTTAAACTTACCTATTAAAGCTGCAGGATAAAGCCCAGAGATTTAATGGTTTGAATATTTATAGCAGCTGATAAGCAACAAATAGGGACAACTGAATATTTGCATTAAGTAGAAATATCATATGTCTTTATTTATTCAAGAGAGAGTCTGCCTCTTATTGCACTCCTTTTTTTTTTTTTTTTTTTTATTTAAAAGAGGCAAGTGTAAGTGGTTTTACATTAAAGTCACTCACAAGCCTGGAGGAATCTTTTTTAGAGGAGTGATTCTCAAACCAGGCTATGCACTAGAGTCACCCAAGGAACATTTGAAAAACAGTAAGCTTCACATTTCATCTTTTGCAAGTTCTGATTCAGTTAACCAAGGTGAGACCTGGGAAAACATATGTTTACATGGCTTCCCAGGTAATTTCCAAATGCAGCCAGATGTCAGACAGAACCATGGGCAATCTGGGACTGGGAAGGAATAAAAGGTAAGAGACAAAATACGAAATGTATTCACGGGAATCAGCCCGCTTCTTTCTAGAGTGAATTCATTCCTACTGCTGTGGTTGGTACATAGTTTCAAATGTGGCAATGGAACCCATACTTTCACAGGGATTAGTTTGAGTGGAGATGGTTTTGGGGATTAGTAAGCAGTCTTTTTCTTTATGAAAATACAGCTATGGCTTAAAATGTGTCTCTTGGAGGGTGAGCAGTACATGTAGCTTTGTTCTTTGTCTGATTGTAGAACAGGCTTTTATAATTTACCATTTTATCTGAAAGCCATTTTCCTCCTCTTCACCATAACATAAACTCAAATCAAAATATTTTGTTTCCTTTTCCAATAATAAATAGCTGTAGACTTTACTGTTTGGGGAGAGTGACAGATTTTCCTTATCGTTTGTTTGATTAAAGACTCAGAAACTTCCAGGAGTCCTGCTGATGATTTCTTCCCACGTTTGAATAAAATACAAAACAAAAGACTTAAAGTGCCAAGGAGTAGGCAGGTGTGTTTATATTGATTCTATCTATAGTTGCTGTTTATTTTGCTGTTAGAGAATGGGTTTCTTCATGCTATGAATTTCAAGATTATGGAATTTTGGATTATGATATTTTTCTATCTTCTCATCTTTCCAACTTTGTATTGTTTGGACCTTGAGCCAGTCATGTTTCTGGAATTGTGGTGAGTTTGAGTTAGACATCCCTGGAATGGACAAGCTGAAGACCTACCTATCTCAGAGCTGTTGGTTCTATCAGAAAAATAACCATGTAGTACTTCTGATAACTCTAGGAGTTCTGTGGTTCTGATGATAGGGACTAAATCAAGCCAATTTCTCTGGATCTCTGATGCATTTGTTATCAGATGATGACTTGGCTGGGGTCAATCTTAGTTGGGATAGGAAGGGGCTCTCCCCAAAATGTGTCTTTTTTAAAAAAATTTTAAATTATGTCTAGCATGCAATATCTGCATATACTTAAGGGGTATAATTAAACTTTTCAACACAAATATACAACTTAAATTGACCCTACCAGGAAACCAGCTTTTCTATTTCATTATCTTTTCTTTGTGTTTAGAGCCTACAAACGCCTCTCTTCCAATTATTTATATACCATGAGTCATAATGACCTTATTGTGCTGCAAAACACCAGAACCTGTTTAGTTCACCATACTGTGTGTTAGCTCATCATCCAAACTTTCCATCACCTGCTCCTCACCCTTCCTGCTTCTAGTAATCACTATTTTCAGTTTGGGATGGATTTATACATTGTTGATGGCAATGCAAATTAGTACTACCATTATGGAGAATAGTGTGGCAGTTACACAGAAAACTAAAAACAGATCTACCTCACAACCCAGCTATCTGACTTCTGGATATATAACCTAAGAAAATCAGTGTATGAAAGAAATAGTTACACTCCCATATCCATTGGAGCACTTTTCACAGCAGTTAAAATATGTAATCTGTCAACAGATGAGTGAAAAAAAATTTTTTTTGACAGGTAGAGTTAGACAGTGAAAGAGAGAGAGAGAAAGGTCTTCCTTCCATTGGTTCACCCCCTAAATGGCCACCACGACTGGCACGCTGTGCTGATCCAAAGCCAGGAGCCAGGTACTTCCCCCTGGTCTCCCATGGGGTGCAGGGCCCAAGGACTTGGGCCATCCTCCATTGCCTTCCCTGGCCACAGCAGAGAGCTGGCCTGGAAGAGGAGCAACCAGGACAGAATCCGGTGCCCCGACCGGGACTAGAACCTGGGGTGCCAGCGCCACAGGTGGAGGATTAGCCTAGTGAGCTGTGGCGCTGGCCTGAAAAATGTTTATATATACACACACACACACACACACACACACATTATATATAATAAAACATTATTTTGCTATAAAAAAGAATGAAGCCCTGACATTTGCAGCAAAATGCATGGAACTGGAGATCATTGTTTTAAGTGAAAGAATCCAGACACAGAAAAATATTATGTTCTCTTTCATGTGTTTCTTATAAGCAACACACATATTCATTGTAGCTAGAGAGAAAGCAGATAGCACACTTTATT